TCCTGGTTTAGGGTTTGGGGTTTGGGGTTTAGGGTTTAGGGTCCCCAGTTTGCAGTTCCTGTGGGCCCAGAGCAAGCCCAGGAAGTATCCCATGTATGTGGTTTCCTTGGAGGAGCCTACCGAGCTTGCCGGGTCAAGGGCCAAAGCGTCGGGTTTTGGTCTATTCCTAGAAATAGGTCCGTTGGCTGGAGTCATGTGGCCAACCTTTTCAGGGTGCCTACGACCCTGAGTCGATAAGTAGTTGGACTGTTCATGTGCCTCACTTGCCTGACTAGTGCGAGTAGCATTCTGGGCTGGCTGAAGAACGAGCTGTTGATCTACTCAATCCCGGGTGGTATTGTGGTAGGTTCAGCATCTTCCACAGAAGGACTACTCATGACCACATGAGGCAGGCGCTTCTCCCAAACAAAAGGACCCTAAACCCCTTAAACCCCATAGGCCCCAAGCCCACAAAGTTTTCGAAACCGACCGCCAAGAGACCCAGAAAAGGAAAGGCTTTCAGTTTTTTTTTTTGCACTCCCAGGCACTCCCAGTTTGTCCAAGTGGTTGGACTTCGTGTTTCGGGACCCTCTTTCTTCCCTCTTTGAAGGGGTTTCGGAGACCGTGGCAAAGCATGGCCGCTTGTTGGCTGGCACCCTTGCTGCGAAAAAAACACGCGGATTTTTCTGAAGATTCAACTCCGAGCCTTCGCAACCCATTGTGGGTGCGGGGACTTCAGCCCCCCGAAGTGGCCGCCAACATCCGATGTTGCACAGGAGTTTATGACCATGACGATGATTCGATCGCATGAGGAGCCGCTTTGGCCCTTCTTGGATTCAGGGGAGTGGGATGGCAGCGGATGCCGGGAGCTCCGACTGCCTGCGTTGTTGGGGTTCAGGGCTTTGGGGGCTTAGGGTTTAGGAAGTTTAGGATGTATAGGCTTAAGGGTTTAGGGTTTTGAGGTTGGCCTTTGCGATCCAGAGAGTTGGATCCAAATGGGGGTTTACGAAAATGGGGGACCCCTCAGCTGGAGCCCCAAAAGGGTTTAGGGTTTAGGGTTTCCTTTTTTCTCAGGACCCCAATAAGATACCCCTGATATCGCGCAAATCCCCAAATGCTCCTCTGTGTGATCTATAGGGCTGAGAGGAGGCCGTTGTTTCCTGTTTTGCGGGCTTGGGCTCACTTATGAACTCCTGTAAACCAAAGAGGGAACCCTTTTTCTTCCTAGGTTACTGCTGGGTCGTTATATTATGTCGTGCTGGGCCGCCGCCGCATTCGTTCAGCATGTCCAAAATGGGTCTCTCGCAGGCCCTGTAGACCCGAAGCCCCTAGATCAAGTGGATTTCTCCTGATGGCTGGTCACTCAGGCACATGGCTTGTGTTTAGATTCTGGTAAAATCTTCTCGGGGAGTGTAGCTGCCCGGTTCACAGAGCAAGAAGTGTGATCCCTCCCTTCGGCGGACTTTTTTTAATAATCCCCAGAGGAGGACTGGAGGTTTGGACAAAGAGTCTGTGTGAAGAGATTGCTAGGTACCACTTGATCTGATGGCACTCCCTCTGTCAGAGTCGGAACGGTAATGTGGACGTTCGGACGATTGCCTTGCCTGCCGTGTGCGAGCGTGACCCGCGAAACCCACACGGCCTCAAACGGCACGACGATGGTGCAGAATCCCGAAATGTCATAAGTGGCCCCTAAGCACAAGAATCCCAAACTCAAACCCCAAGCTGTCCTATGCGGAGTGCCCAACAAAATCCCCGAACCTCAGGGTTGTCCTGGTGGTATGCAGGTGGGTAGCAGGGAAACCCATAAAAAACCAGGGTTGTCTTACCCTAAACCCGAAACCCTAAAACCCCAAAACCCCAAACCCTACACCCCAAAACCCTAAACCCTAAACCCTAAAACCCTAAAACCCTAAAACCCTAAAACCCTAAACCCTAACACCTTAAACCCTAAACCCTAAAACCCTAAACCCTAAGCCCTTTCGTAGCGGCTCACCCCGAGGCTGCTCGAGGAAGGTTCGCTCGTCGAGTACGACCCCAGCATGGGCCATGCGACTCGACGGCTTCGGCTTTAGGGTTAGGGTTTAGGGTTTAGGGTTTAGGGTTTAGGGTTTAGGGTTTAGGGTTTAGGGTTTAGGGTTTAGGGTTTAGGGTTTAGGGTTTAGGGGTGAGGGTTTAGGGTTTAGGGTTTAGGGTTTAGGGTTTAGGGTTTAGGGTTTAGGGTTTAGGGTTTAGGGTTTAGGGTTTAGGGTTTAGGGTTTAGGGTTCAGGGTTCAGGGTTCAGGGTTCAGGGTTTAGGGTTTAGGGTTTAGGGTTTGGAATGGCTTTGCGGTTTTAGGGTTTAAGGGTTTTAGGTTTAGGGTTTTAAGGTTTTAGGGTGGTTTTAGGGTTTTAGGATGGGGAACTCCGATCTTTCGACTAGCAGTCCTTAGTAGGGATTCTAATCGGGGTCCTAGAATCCCTATGAAGGACTGTCAGGATAAGGGGGAACCTCCCGAGTTTAGGAGTTCGTGTGGGATATGTTTTAGGGGTAAAGGGCTGTTCGCCTTAGGGTTGTAGGGCTGCAGGGGTTTGGTGTTGCTGCGACTCATGGGTGAGTTTTCTCCGGAGCGTGGTCAAACTGAGGAGTTCGGGGGCTTAGGGTTTGGGCCGGAGAGCCCTGTAACCCCTAAACACGTACAGTGCCCCACCCTAAACCCTAAAAACCCTATAAACCCTATAAACCCTATAAACCCTAGAAACCCTATAAACCCCTCCCCACCGCCGAGTGCCCCACGCTGCAAGGTCATCTTCGTCTCGCACCAGTGGACGAGCAACACGCACCCGGACCCAAACTTCGAACAGCTCCAAGCACCGCGGCTCCAGGATTTTTTCGGTGTGGAATCTTCAGTTCGGGTTTAGGGGTTTAGGGGTTAGGGCTTAAGGTTTAGGGTTTAGGGTTTGGGGTTTAGGGTTTAGGGTTTAGGGTTTAGGGTGCAAACAGTGGCAGAGCAGAGCTTTGGTTCAAGGGTGCCGAGGCTATTAAGGAAGCCCCCAGCCCGAAACCCGAAGGCTTCCCTTTTTAGGGTTTAGGGTTTAGGGTTCCCCTGAAAGTGTTCAGTACTCAAACGAAGTCCGCATCGACCAGGGTGGTGTAGCCGTCAGGCACGCACTCGAGCCTGTGGTCGCGGTAAGCCCATTTGCCATCGCTGAGGTGCTGCAGGAGGCGTTGAAGAACCTTTTGTGTCTTGGCAGAAAGATGTGCGCCGTTTTAAAAGTTAGGTTGAGGCAAGAAGCAGCCAAGTCCAACTCCCTAGAGTTTTGACAAAAAGCGGACATCAGTTAAACCCAACACTGGTCGAATCTGCGAATCTTAGTTTACTTGGGTGTCCGGGAGCTCACGAGCAAACAGGAGCCCTCAGTAGTTTCGCCGCTTTGTATGATTACTGTAACCAGGAATCAGGAAACTAATCAATCACATTGGACAACCAAGAAAGTGCCCGAGTAGGCCCACACAACAAATGCAGAGAGAGAGAGAGAGAGGGCGAGAGGGAGGAAGAAGGACGTGTATCACAAAACGGAAAGATACGCATCTCAGCATATATATATATATATATATGTATATATACATATGTACTGTTGTTTATGTATTTGTTTGTTTATTTCTATTTATTAATTCATTAATTCATTTTTTTTTAAATACGTGTTTCTTTCTGTTTCTCAGGCTTCGATCTGCTGTTTGTATCGTAAAGCCCTCAACCGGGGTGCTGAGGCCCGAGGGCTGTAATGAGAAAAACATGGCCCAGCAAGGCTTGGGGGGTGGGGGGGAGGGCGAACTTCGGGGGGTGGGTTTAGGGTTCGGCTTGGGGGACAGAATCGCCAGGAGCAAGAAGACCACGGCGCCTCGGCGTGCATTCCGAGCGGTTTAAGGTTGCAAAGGGCTCTTTGAGCCCCCAAAAAACAGCTGCCGTCCCTTATCAACCCCATGAAACAAGAAAGGGCACGCTGGAGGTTAGTTGAACAGCCTCGAAAATGGCGTGAGCAGAGTGCCTTGAATCCGAACCCCAAATCCTCCAACTTGTGGCACCCGAATTCGGGCTTTCAACAAGAATGCAGGTTAGGTCCTTGGCACGATTTTTGTGGCCCCCTTTGTGCATGGTCACGGGGGATCGAAGTTTCAGCCATCGCCTCGTGGGCAAGTCCTCAACTCCTCATCACCCGGGCGACTGTAGCCTTCTGGGTGTCACCCTGAACCCTACAGGCCCCTAAGCACAAGACCCTTCCCTCAACCCCGAACCCTAAAGGGGTTTAGGGTCTAAACCCTAAGCCTAAACCCTAAACCCTAAACACCCTTACCTTAAGAAAGCAAAATACAACTTTTCGCAGATCCACCCCCAGCTGGTGAACTTTGTTCCCCTGGGCAACCGTCAGCGGCTGACGGCGGACGAGCTCTTGGAGCGGCCCTTGTTCTTGTGGCACCTTGACTCGGGTTCAGGGTTTAGGGTTTAGGGTTTAGGGTTTAGGGTTTAGGGTTTAGGCACCTAGGAGAGCCCTCCGGCAAAAAGGGTTTAGGGTTTAGGGTTCAGGGTTCAGGGTTTAGGGTTTAGGGTTTAGGGTACAAGGTAGCCCAGTGGTTCCCTTGTCCCTTTTTGGGTTCAAGGTTCCCCTCTAAAGTAACCAACGCCAACAAGGGTGCTCTTTGAAGCAATGTTCCCTCTCGGTTGCCCCCACTCCTGTAGAGCCGATGACTTAACGATGTGCTTCCGCCTAGCAGCCCGTACACTCTGCTCCCTGAACCTCCTCGACCCTTGTCTGTAGAACCTCCTTGGCACTTAGCTGTATAAAAGCCCCAAGCCCTGAACCCTCAGCACCATGTTTCAAGTCCGCAGGCTGCTCAGCTGCGCATTGACCTCCTCCCCTCCCTGCTATAGGGTTTAGGGTTTAGGGTTTAGGGTTTAGGGCCAGAGCTTCGCTGCTGGCTCAGGTACGACTTCTTCGCATGCCCGCAGCTGGAAGCGAGATCCAACAGACAAAGCAAAATTATGTCCCTGCAGAATGCCGTGGATAGCATTCCCTGCTATGTGCAGATGTCCCGATTCTTTTTCGCCCCTCGGCATAGTTGCCTCAGCACATCCTCGTGGAGGGGGACGAGCGGTCAGGTATATTCAGTACTAAGGAAAAACGGAGAAGAGTAGATATGCACGGTTGAGATGGGAAAGACGAGGCAGTGGATAGTCGGGATAGTACATTAACTCCAGGAGGAGGTTTATTAAGATCTGCAGTGAACCGCAGTTGGGATTCAGGCTTGGGGTTTAGGATTGAGGGATCCATGCCGTTGAGGGTTTATAAGGCTGTAGCTTGAAGTACCCACACCTGTCACCTGCCGAAGTTAGGAATGGGTCCAAGTGTTCTGAGGTTCTGGCGCCTGTCATGAAGCACGCAGACACTGGAAAGTTGCTGAGCAAGTACACCTGGACAGTGTCCGAACGGTCCTGGACGAGTCCCCTCAACAACCCCGATTGTGCTACCTGTTTGGCACGAACGCGAGACATACCGTAGGGTTGATTTTTGGGCCCAGGTTTCCCGGCTTTAGCCTCAGTCCATGGCGAAAAAAGGGCCCAGTGTAGGGTTTACCCAAAAGATCCTATGTATTCCTATGTAGTACCTTTTTGGGGTTGTATATCACTAGAATCCCCTATACCAAACCCAAAAAAGGAACTACATAGGAGCCTTCAGGTAGGGTAGGGTATATATATATACATACATACATACATACATATATATTTATATATTTATATTTATTTATTTAATTATGCACTTGAGGGCAAGCATCCTTCCCTGGAAGGAAAGCCCGCGGGTGGTGCCGCACGGAGCGAGTCGCCCGGGAGCTGAGCCTTCGGTCGAACTCCCTTTCAGAGTTCTGGGTTTAGGGTTTAGGGTTTAGGGCTCAGAGTTTTGGCTTTAGGGTTTAGGGTTTAGGGTTTAGGGTTTTGGCTTCAGGGCTTAAGCCCTAAGCCCTACCCGAAGGCACCGATGTAGTTCCTTTTTTTGGGTTAGGTATGTGGGATTCGAGTTTTCTACCCCAACTAGGTACTACATAGGAGCCTTTGGCTGAACCCTAAACCCAGCTGATGCTCTGAGCCTGGGATCAACAAAACACAGGAGGCAATCTTAAAACACGCAAAGCTGGGAGGGGGGTTCGACGGGGTATGTAACCTAATACTCCGCACTACTCCCTAAGGCTCCCCAAGCTTCCCAAAGCTTCCCTAGGTACCTACCCATGAACCCCCCTCGCTTAAGAACTCTACAACGTAACACAAAGGGCTTAGGAACAAAAAGGCGTGCTGGGCTTCTTTGCTAGTCGGGTTTGAGATGGTTCGAGATGGCTCATGTAGCCTTTTGCTCTGCTTCTGTGACTTGCTAAACCCCCCCCCCCCCCAAAAAAAAAAAAGAGATAATCTTTTTTTCCTTATCAGGGTGTGTAAGCTCGGTTCATCCAACCACAAAAAGCAACAATACCTCCAAAAGCAACGTGGGTGGTTCTCAAATTACGGTCCCTTTTTTAGTCCCCTACAGTATATCGCACGGCACTTGATTAAAAAAGGGACCTCCCCGAAAGCGAAACTAATTTAGAGAACTGCCCACATGTCCTGCTTGAGCCGCTGAACTCAAAGCCCCTCACAAAAACAAAAGACCTTACAGACCCTTCCGCTAATGATAGGGGTTTTTGGACTTCTATATCTTGGTGGTTCTCAAGCAAACAGGAGGCTCGAGGTCTGTTGGTACGAGGGTGTTGCAAACTTTTTGCTCCCAGACCCTAAGCCCTAAACCCTAAACCCTAAACCCTCAACCCTAAACCCTAAACCCTAAAGCCCGAGGGGGCCCTACAGTCCCCAATCATTCGGGTAGGTGTTATGGGCACGTGCCCACCTGATGTCTCCAATGTAGTTCCTCTTTGGGTTTGTTGTAGGGGATTCGAAAACAACAACCCCAACATGGTACTACAGAGGAGCCACAAATGTCGGTTTAGGGTTTAGGGTTTAGGGTTTAGGGTTTAGGGTTTAGGGTTAGCGATTAGCAGTTGCTTGGGGGTGCATGGGTATCTGGCTTGCCTCCAGTCCAGTGGCAAAAAGGGTTTAGGGTTTAGGGTTGAGGGTTTAGGGGCAAGGGTTTAGGGTTTAGGGGCAAGGGTATGGTGTTGGCAGTGGTTAAGTCTCCTGCATTAATGTTGGTTTGGGGCTGCTAGGTCAGGCTGCAACCCCTAAACTTTAGACGTGGGATGCTCCCCTAGCAGTCCCTATTAAGGAGGGGGAACATCCCAACCTTGAACCCTAAACCCCAAAGCTTTTGAATGGTTGGGGTTGGGCTCTTGGGGTTTGGGGAGCCAATGGCTCGAGCGCCCGGGCGGCGCGAGAAGGGGTTGTCAATTCACGTTTCACACGATTCACACGCTTTTAGGCTCCAACGCAGTTGTAGTTCCTAAACCCTAAACCCGAAACCCCAAAAAAAGTACTACCTAGGAGCCTTTGGGTGTTGTGTTTTTGGGTCACCCGAGGACTGCGGCGGACACCCGCATGGCATCTTGTCTGGCAGTGGCGCTGTCCAGCTTCCAGCTTCCGGCAACGGTTTAGCTGTTTAGGGTTTAGGGTTTAGGGTTTAGGGTGGAATAGGGTGGAGACTGTTTTGGGGTTCAGGGTTTTAGGGTTTTGGGGTTTTGGGTTCAGATAGTCATCAGCATACTGCTGAAGAATGAAGATGGTACTTGTGAAACAAGGGGGGGGGTTTATGGTTACGCTGTCGGCGAGTAGTGTCGACTTCGGATGAACAACCCCCCCGTCCAAACAACTTGAATCCGGAGTAAGTTCCCTCAGCCCTAAACCCTAAACCCTAAAGTTCGGTGTCTTTTTGGCACTCCTGAATCGATCTTGGGAAATGGAGGGGTTTACGACAATCATGGGCCCCCTTAGTATAGACCCCCAAATAGTAGGATCCCCTTGCAACAAGGACCCCCCCAATAAGGTACCCCGAATATCGTACACCCCCCAAAATACCCTATACCCTGAACCCCAAACCCTAAGCCCTAAACCCTAAACCCTAAACCCTAAACCCTAAACCCTAAACCCTAAACCCTAAACCCTAAACCCCAACCCTAAACCCTAAACCCCCCAAAATCAACTTGGGAGAGAGTTTGTTCGGGAAGGAAACCGGTCAAAGTTGTCTTTGGGAGCTGGGCCCTGGGATTTCGGGCTGCCTGAAGGCTCCAACATGTAGTTCCTTTTTGGGTTTAGGGTTTGGGGTTTAGAGTTTAGGGTTTAGGGAGTTAGTTATAGTATTATAGGGGGTTCTAGCACACTACCCCAAACAAGGTACCACATAGGAGCCTTTGATTAGGCCTGAGAGGTGTCAAGAATGTGGCCTTGCTTGCTTGTAACCGCAAGTCTGTGCCGGCAACATTGTAGCATCAGCCACCTTTAACATCCCCAACCCTTTAAGTCCCAAAGCCTAAGCCCTAAAGCCTAAACCCTCCGGCTCCGAGAATCAACAGACATAGTAGTGAAACCTTTGAAACTGTACATCGCCCCGAAATGTTACCCTGTGGTGCGGCTGGACTGCTTGGCGGGTGCAAAAAACCCTTAAACCCTAAACCCTAAACCCTAAACCCTAAACCCTAAACCCTAAACCCTAAACCCTAAACCCTAAACCCTAAACCCTAAACCCTAAACCCTGAGCCGCTGCAGAGGTGGTCGTGGAGAGTGCAGAGCACCAGTATCTCATGGTTCCGTTCGACTCCTGGCTACGCCCAGCTGGCGAGGGCCAGCCTGCTGGCCGCAGTCGATAGGCAATCGGAATTTTTTTCGTGGAGTTAGGGAGTAGTTAGGGTTTCGGGTTTAGGGGTTAGGGTTTAGGGGTTATGGTTTAGGGTTTAGCTTGTGCGGCATGTGATCTGGAGGCTGCAAGCCTGTGTTTGTAGAGTGTGGTGGCATGACGTGTTTTTCGGGAGTGCGTAACGCCCTATGCCATATGGGGGTTTACGAAAATCAAGGACCCCGAAAATAGACCCCCAAGTAGTAGGATCCCCTGATAACGAGGACCCGATAGGGCACACCCTAATGTCGGAAACCCCCCCACATGCTCTCCAAGACTCAAAATACCCACGTAGCCCAATCATGCCCAATGCATGCAGCCCAGCACCTAATTTAGGTGGTTACAGTATGGGCCATCCCAAACGCTCCTTGACATAGCACTCCCTCCGTAGGGTTTAGGGTTTAGGGCTTAGGGTTTGGGTTCGGGTTCAGGGTTCAGGGCTTAGGGTTCAGGGTTTAGGGCCCCTCAAAGGTTCACCGTGGCCAGTGACCGCGAGCGGGTCTCCCAACTCCTGTCGCTTGGCCGCGGGTTGTGAGTGTGGTCCAGGGACGAGGAATTTCGGGTTTAGGGTTTAGGGTTGTTCCAGGGGGTTCTTCTGGAGCTACTGCAAGCTTACATCGAGCTGGTCATCTACACGGGTAGATATCTGACTGATGGTCACTTTTTCACTTTAAAGGGGTGCCCTCATTTGTTGTTTTGGTCTCCAGCGAGGAGGTTGAAGCCCCGTCACTAGTTACGTGGCCACTCAGAATTGCAGAGAGAGAGAGAGAGAGAGAGGAACACCAACATCCAGGGACGCCCATAGTCCTGTCAGAACCTGAGCAAAGTAGTGCTTTGAGTGTTCTTCTTTGGGCCCAAAGAAGAGCCGAGAAAGACGGAGACGGCAGGCGCAACCTCATCCAGAAGAAGCTCGACGCGCTTCTGAAGCGGCAGGCGCCTTCCTCAAACACCCCTCTGTAGGTGCTTTGCAAATCCCATCAAGGGCTTTCTTCCATGGACTTGGTGGTGCTCTAGGTCCAGCCTCCGAGATCCTTGGGCCCGGGCATGAGTATGTTCGGACTTGGGGAAAAAAGGTGTTGGTATTCTTTTGTGTTGTTTCTCCATATGGGGGGGGGGGGGCAGAAGGGGCGGAGGGGGAGCGGTTGGCCCTAAACCCTAAACCCTAAACCCTCAACCCTCAACCCTTAACCCTCAACCCCCAACCCTCAATCCTCAACCCTCAACTAACCAATCCTGCCAGGACTTCCACAGCTATCGGCTCCTCCTCAACATGCGGCACATACACCTGCAGATGAGGCAGCGCCGCAGTGGGAGCAACACCGGGCCCATACCCCCACACTTGAGAATCCCCTCTTTAAACCCCAAACCCTATTTCCTAAACCCTTAAACCCCGAACCCTCAGCCCTAGACTCTTAAACCCCCAACCCCCAACCCCCAACCCCCAACCCCCAACCCCCAACCCCCAACCCCCAACCCCCAACCCCAAAACCCCAACCCCAAACCCCAAACCCCAAACCCCCAAACCCCCAAACCCCCAACCCCAAACCCCAAACCCCAATCCGAAACCCCCCCAAACCCCAAGTTGCAAAATGCCACTCCCGAAAGTTGGTAGAGCTTCTCCTTGTATGTCACTCGGAAGCTCTCACTGGCACTCTAGGTAGACCCTGGCGATATTTTAGATTTCCCTTAGTGGGTTTAGGAGGATCATATGTAGTAATATGTTTCAAAGGGTTTTAAGGACCATCGTAACAGGACACGGGGGGGAGCTCTTGTTGCTAGTCGTGGTTTCTGGGCTCTGTACCTAGATCTGGGTGCCCTAAATATTAGGTGCCGTATTGTAAAAGGGATCCAACAAGGGGCCATAATCTTGACAACCACCCATCTGAAGGTGGGATGGCTTTGGGGTCCCACGGAGTTTTGTGTCTATGCCTGAAGAAAGAGAACGTCGCCCAAACCCTATAAGCCCTGAGGTTCGCAGGTCTGCTCAGTGGCCAGAACTCTTAGCAGACTCTAGGGTTGAGGGGTTTAGGGTTTAGGGTTTTGGGTTTGGGACAATCTGCTCCCCCAAAGCCTGCGCAACAATTCTGCCGGGCGGGTGGCAAGAGCAAGCATATCGCAAACCAAAACTGAGCAAAACACATCCAAGCCCCTGTTCCGTTCATGAGCGGAAATTTTCGAGGGGAACCCTCACAGCCTGAACCCCAAACCCTCCAAACCCCCCAAAGCCCCCAAACCCCCAAACCCCCAAACCCCCAAACCCCCCAAACCCCAAACCTCAAACCCAAACCCCAAACCCCCCTAAACCCTACTCCCTAAACCCTACATCCCTATAAACACTAAACACACCCAAGCCCCAAGAACCGCATCGAGGATGGGTGAGGCCAGGAAGAGAAGCGCGGAGCCTGCAACAGCCGAGGCCAGGAGTCTGCCTCAAGATGGCTTTCTTCTGGCTGGCTCTTAGGACTTTATGATTTTTTTTGGGATTTTCAAAGTACTTCATCATTTATTGATATAATTCATACATTTACTGCAAAATGCAAAGGAAATTGGGTGTTGGTTTGTGGAAACTACAATAAGGGGCCTAACAGGTAAACTTCTAGGAGGGGTTCAGAAGTCAGCCAAGTTAAGATCCCCAAAAGGCTACCTTTTTTGTAGCTCACCTCAGTTTGCCTGTAGAAGTTTTTTTGTAGGCCACCTAAGAATCCTGTAAAAGTTTCTTTTGTAGTTTACCTGTTTTGTTGGTTGCCGACGGAGTTTTTACGGGTTCCTGTAAGAGCCCACAGGAAAGGCAGGCTTCTTGCCGTTGAGGTACGAAAGGGTGCGTCGGAATAGTCACTCATAGTATTCCCTGAGAACCCCCAAGGCTCTATTCCAATTCTTAAGGCCCAATAATATCAGTAGTAGTATTCCCTGAGGCACTATAGAATGAATGATACTATCATAACCCCCAAGACCCTATTCGAATCATGAAGGCCCCCATATGACGTAGATTGTGCCCTGAAGCCGATGAGGAGGCAGAAGCCCTGCTGGCGAGCTTTCTCCAGGAGATTCCGATGGGTGTCCCAGTTTATAGGGGTTCATGTCCGACAGGGTTTAGGGTTTAGGCTTTAGGGTTTAGGGTTTATGTTTGTTAAGGTTTTTTTGGGTTTTGTAGGGTTATGATTATTATATATATGTTTTTTAAGGGGGTTTTTCAATGCTAGAAAAACCCTCCATTTGCAGAGTCTTCCTCGTGTCAGGAGAATCGCTTCAAACGCTTCTCAGACCGCGAGTTCGGATGGACTCCGACTTGCCCCCCGGCTTCGCCCGGGACGTATAGTTTAGGGGTTTAGGGGTTTAGGGTTTAGGGTTTAGGGTTTAGGGTTTAGGGTTTAGGGTTTAGGGTACATTCATTTGGGTTTAGGATGGAGCCTGCTCGAATAGTGGCATGCGAACATTTTCGCGTTGCCGCATTTCATATGTCACAGGAATAGTGAGGTTCCGCATTTGTGTTCATCCCATGGCTGCGGAAGAAGCAAGCTGAGTCTCCAAGCCGAACCATTTTCCTAAACACGAAGCCCGAAGCTAGTCGGACCTTGCATGCTCCTTGGTCACCCTGCCTGGCAAGGAGCGCCCCTAAACCCGAAACCCTAAACACTAAACGTTAGACGTGGCCCTAAACCCTAAACCCTAAACCCTAAACCCTAAACCCATTTTGGCTCAAGTGCATGAGGCTTCGCTGCCCTCCGTGGCGATGCGCCCTTGCTGAAGGCCGGACCGGAGCTTGCAGGGCTTTGGGACTTTAGGGCTTTAGGGTTAGGGGTTTAGGGTTTAGGGTTTAGGGTTTAGGGTTTCGGGTTTAGGGTTTAGGCAGTGCTGCAAAGTGTATTGGCTAGACCTCCGGCCAGTGGAATAAAAGAAGGGTTTAGGGTTTAGGGGGTACCGAGCCCATTTATGGGTACCGTGCTTACGTCTTTTGGGCTTTGAGGGCTTTAAAAGGTTTTCAGGTTTTATTTGCTTAAGGTGCGCAGTCGGAGGTTGAAAGCTCGGGGCTTAAGCAAGGCAGGCGACATGCGGCTACATCCTGCTAAGGGCTGGTTTAGGGTTTAGGGCCTAGGATGACTGCATGACTTTGTTTGCTTTCGGATGGCAGTGTTTCAAGGAGGCCTTGTGCAGGAGCAGTGACATGCAAGCTCGCACCGCAGAGTCGGATCTCGGACTTAAGTTTTAGGGGAGAGGTGTGCATTTCAATTCAACCCTAAACCCTAAGCAGTAGAAGCTCCGAAACCTAACACGTTGTAAGCATGCGCCATGGGTGGAAATGCAGCCTGGAGGTGTAGGGTCGAGGCCGATAGTCTGTCCCAACGCAGAGGTACCTTCCTAAACCCTAAACCCTAAAAGCCCAAACCCTAAACCCTAAACCCTTCTCGGGCTCAGACAAGGGTTGAATGGGTTTTTGGGGTCTTCTTGGGGGGGGAGGGGGGGGAGGGGGGGTTTAGGGTACTTTAGGGTACTCAAGGGTGGTACACCGTGAAGACCCATCGGTTCGGTCCGGGGGTCTGGACTGAGCATGCCTTCTCATGGGCTTTAGGGGTTTATTTATTTAGGGTTTAGGGTTTAGGGTGGAGGGTTCAGGGTTTAGGGTTTAGGGTTTAGGGTTTCGGGCTTAGGTAGCATCCTTCATCACCGGCCTACATGATCACATCACAAGCATGTGGTTCCCCGTTTCAGGCGCTGCTTCGCCGCCAGGCAAACGTGAACGAGTGCGTTAAGGCGAAGGAGCCAGAATGTTGATGTTAAAGCCCTTGGGATGTTCCCCCTTATACTAACAGTCCCTAGTAAGAATTATCTATAGTACCCTTATTCAAATTCCTATTAAGGACTGCTAGCATAAGGGCGAACATCCCAATTGAAGCCCTTGGTAGCGCAGTGGTGCCCTTAGCCCTTTTCTTGGTTTTGGCTTCCCTTGTAAAGAAAGTTAGGCAACCAAAACAGGGTACCTTAATTAGAACTACTGGGGGCTACTAAGAGCCCCTTATGGTAAGGATTCCAAGGTAGCCTACCAACGTATACTTGTGATGTTCCTCAGGTAGAGCCATAAAGCCCTCTATGGAATTCTGGGATTCTAGGATTTCTCCAAAGAAACACAGGTGCTTCTTCAGGAAGAGCCGTTCGTTCAGGTTCATAGGAACTGCTGCGGAAGGGCCGACCACCCTAAACGCTACCTGGGACTCTTACTTACCTACAGTTCAGTAGTAAATGCCCCTGATTTGGTAGGTAGACCCCGTAAAGCTAGGGTTAGAGGGTTTAGGGTTTAGGGTTTTGGGTTTAGGGTTTGGGGTTTAGGGTTTAGGGTTTAGGGCTTAGGGTTTAGGGTTTAGGGTTTAGGTAAGCCCCAGCAAGCGTAGACCGCCCGAAGTCTGCAGCAGCGCAGGAGCTCGAGCTGCATGGAGACCCAGGGATGTCCTTGCTCCGAGCCCGCAAAAGCGTGTCCCTAAACCCTAAACCCTAAACCCTAAACCCTAAACCCTAAACCCTAAACCCTACACCCTAAACCCTAAACCCTAAACCCTAAACCCTACACCCTAAACCCTAAACCCTAAACCCTAAACCCTAAACCCTAAACCCTAAACCCTAAACCCTAAACCCTAAACCCTAAACCCTGAGGAGATGAGTCCAGGAACGAGTTCCATTATTAAGGATTGTTAGCTTTGGGGGCAACATATAGTACCCTTAAGGACTGTTAGTATAAGAGGGGGAACATCCCAAGGCATATATCACCCCATTCTTCAGAGCCTTTTGCTGGTTCGGGTTGCGAGTTTGTCTCTGGAAGGTGTGAGCCGTCATCCCGTACCTCAACCCTAAACCATCCTGGCCGTTCTGCAAGGATCTCGCGTGCACGGGAAACCCAAGCCCATCACCCCAATGAAACTGAATCCCTAAACCCTAAACCCTAAACCCTAAACCCTACACCCTACACCCTAAACCCTACACCCTACACCCTAAACCCTAAACCCTAAACCCTAAACCCTAACTTCACTTCCTGTGGCTTGGTTTCGTCTCTACCTTCAGAACTGGCCGCCTCAGAGTCCTAAAAGGGCGTAGATCCTATAGACCCCCAAAAAACCCTTTAAACCCTAGAAACCCTATAATCCCCAGGGTTTAGGGTTTAGGGTTAGGGCCATAATTCCTCTAAACCCTGCAAACCCCTAAACCCTTGTCAAACAAAAGCAAGCTGCTCTCCGGCTCCCTGGTTCGCTGCTGAGGCTCCATCTCGCGGCCCAGTTCGGGAACAACGAAGCGCTGCAGCTGCTCATCCAGGCATCCTGGGAGTTGGTACAGGATTTAGGGTTTAGGATTTAGGGTTTAGGGTGTAGGGTTTAGGGCCTTATAAGGTTTGTAGGGAGCCCCAGTCCCTGAACCCCTAAACTGCAAGCCCTAAACCCTAAAGATTGAGGGAGCCTTAAACCCCAAACCCGACCCCCGAACCCCTGAAAGTTGGGGTAGAAGCTAGGATGCTTCAGAGCTCCACCGCGCATTAGGTGGGATAGCGACCCATCAAGCCCACGGGCTCAACAGGCGTTATGCCGCCACGTCATGAGACTATACAGCCTGGATGAGAGGTAGTGAGCCCACAGGAAGGCTCTAATTTCCCTGACTCGGCTTACCTGAATCTAAACTTGAAACCCTGCAAGATGGACCTAAACCGTAAAGGTTTGAGGGCCTGCTGCACTGGGCTTAGCTGGGTTGGTGCTTACCTACTGACGAGTGTGAAGATGGCGAATCAGGGAATGAGGCCTCCATAGGGTTTAGGGTTTACCCTAAACCCTAAACCCTAAAGCCTAAACCCTAAACCCTAAACTCGGATTCACCAGAGTTTTAGGCTTCAGGTGTCGGGTGTCCTGCTGACCAGGAGAAGGCCGACCTGAACATCCAGGACCAGCTTCTTCACGGCATTCTGGCATCTTGGGTTTAGGGTTTAGGGTGTAGGTATAGGGTTTAGGGTTTAGGGTTTAGGGTTAGGGTTTAGGGTTTAGGGTTTCTTGAACCCCCCTCCCTCAAGAACCCGAAATGGTGGTCATCTTCTGAGAATAGAGCGATCGGCAGACCGGCTCAATTTTTGTAGCCATCCACCCCTACTGGACTCCCTCAGCCCCGAACGCCTAGATTGGCTAGCGGCCCACTTTGCCCGTGCTTCCATATTCGTTTTTCTCTAAGGATTTCCAGTTGTAGGCATTCTGTTCCCTGCGCGCGTGTCGTGCGGTAAGCGTGAACAACTCTGCAGGCCTGCAATGTCCGTGCAAGTGCGAGTCAGGCTGCACTTTCTTTTGATGATGACACTTCCAGGAGTCTTGTTTCTATCCTCTCAATGGTCCGATGGCTTCACTGGACGGCTACCCGAAGCACAGCGGTGTGACAAAGTTGGCAGAGCTGGACGCTCTACAGATCATAGCGAGGTGCTTGCTGCGTCCTTCCCGTCCATCAGGCCACTCAGAAGGTTTGGCCGCTATTGCTGGAACCCAGCAAAAGTCAGCAAGAAGATGAAAGTTATGCAGAAGGTGGCTGCTAACGATATCACGAAAGGACTTGCCACTGCACATGAACTTCCCAACACAATTGTGGATCCCACTGCGATCAGGTTGCCGTGCAAGTTTGCTGAGAACCTGCCTTCGCAAAGAGTCTTCAACATGTTTCCATATAGGCCCGGTTTGCTTCCGGCTCTGACCGTTGCCAGGGAGAGAGGTTTGTGCCTGAAGAATCTGGACTTTGTTCTGGATGCCAGCAGTCTGATTCTCCTTGCAAGAACACAACCCCAGAAGAAGCGATACAAGCATTTGGTCCAGAAGTTGCCGGGCACAGATGTTATTGCGATCGGAAATTGTGGGCGATATATGCAAGAGCTGCATGACATTGGATACCAGTTTGAGCGTCTTATGACGGGTGAGCCACAGGATGGTCTACACGACGTACGGTGGCACGAGGCCATCCAGTTGTTGGACATCGGAGGTTGGCAGGTATTGGTTACTGCCGAAGTGGATGCGCTTAATGCAAAGCAGATGCCGGTTGAGATCAAAAGTTCCAAGACAATCAGGCGCCGGTTGCTTATTCTCCAGATGCTGGCCAGTGGAGCAGTGGAGCTGGTGCACGCCAAGGAGGACAGGCAACACCTTGCGGGACGTCCGGCAGCAATCTTTCAAGAAGCTCGTAGCAAAGTTGCCCAAAGAATGGTGTCAAGGAGTCGCGGCCAACCTTGTTTCCGGGCTTACGCAGCTAAAAGCTAGTGGCGACATCAGCTCCGAGCTCGTTTATGAGGTTGTCGGCTTCTCTGACAGCGATTCTACCGTGTTGCTTTCACACACCCCGGCCCGTGACTTTCTTCCTTCCGCTTCTGTGGTGAAGCATTTCCTTGGATCGAACCAGACAAACAGCTCTGTGTCAGGCACCACTGATAAGAAGATGCAAAGCAAGCAGAACAAGCTCTTCAAGGCAAAGAAGAAGTTGCTGGAATGTGCACCTGTGCGTATGGAAGACATCGAGAAAGTCTGCGCGAAGAAAGCTGGGTGTTCAGCCCGGCTGTTTCGCTTGAGGAAGCCCTTCACATTCCAGTGCGCGCGTCGAGGTACCTCTCGCCTTGTCGCAGTGGCAGACGGGAAGTTGGTCTCACATGGAGCTTATAGTCAAATTGTGGCTTCTCTTTCGAAGGGCCAATTTTGACGCAAATGGGTCGAGACACCCGAACTCAAGCATTGTATAGTATTTCTAGTATAGTAAGCTAGATGTTTAAATAGTATTCCCTCTATATATATATACATATATATATATATATGTACATGTATATTGTATTGTTTCGTGTACTTGATAGTATACTACTTATAAAGCAAGCTTTTGTAGCATGTAGTGCACTGTATCCCTCCGCATGAGCATGCGCAAGCGCGGCCTGGGCGCAAGAGCTTGGAGAGAATGCGCACACTGCGTCCGCTGGGTTTAGGGGTTTGGGGCGTTTTTGGCCATGTACAGTATACGAAAACTATATCGTAAGATATGTACTATACCATATACCATATCCCCTATACCCCCACCCCTAAAGTAATTGTTTTTCTTTGGTTAAAAAGTCGTTTTATTTGTGTCGCTTTGCCAAAGAAACTTGTAGCCTGAGGTCAGGGTTATAGGTTGGGATGTTCCCCCTTCTACTAAGACTAACAGTCCTCAATAGGGACTAGACTAGGGGGTACTATCATCCCTAGTAAGGACTGCTAGTATAAGGGGGAACATCCCAAGTTACAGGGCGCTTGTTTCCTCCAGCCTGCAAGTCAAGGCTCGGCTTGACGCCGCTGCATCGAGCAGCTCTCGGGGACAATGCCGAGGGTGTGCGATGCCTGTTCCAGGCAGGGGCTTGGGGCTTCGGGTTTGGGTTGGGGGTTTAGGGTTTAGGGGTTAGGGGTTAGGGGGTTTAGGCAGGGGCTTCGAACGGAACTCCGCCAAAGGGCCGCGTGTTTGCAAGGGGCCTTAAGCTGTGAAGAAAGTCCACCCTTATCCCATCCCCCCACCCTTCGCTTTCTTTGCTTGCGATACTATTGAACTCCCGGTAGCAGGAGCTGAAGCTCAATATCTTCACTTATTTTCATCTGCCCAAAATACCCTCAGCTCCTTCAAACCATGGTTACCCGGTTAAAGGAGTTCTGCATTAAGAACTACATTTGGTAAGGTTTGGAACCTTCACACTCCAAAGAAACATTGCGCCTCCATCGCTAAACCCTCTGAAGCCCAAGATTCCTCGGAATCCACGCAGGCCGGTTGCAACCCCACGTGCCGCGAGAAAGTCGCGCACCTCTCCGCCACGGGGCCAGCGGCTGCATGGGGCTCACTGCGAGGCGGCATTTTCGGGTTGAGGAACTGAGGGATCGGCAGGGTTTAGGGTTTAGGGCAGTTTAGGGTTTAGGGTTTAGGGTTTAGGGTTTAAGGGATTCTGAACTCAGCCACAACCAGGGCGATTTTGCACGCAATCATGACACGTCAGTCAAAGTGCGGCCTTGTTATCTTCGATGCTACCACCGTCGTCCCTTTACAAGGTCGTGAAAATCCTTCCTGAGTCTTCCGCAGCCTCATATTCCAGGCCCCGAGCCCGAATCGTCAACCATTCCTGCACACAGCAGGTCTGCAGGCAGTCATGAAGCACACCCCGTCGTTGGAGCTCCACTTGTGCCTGCACCTCGACTTTGTTACCAGTGATGCCTTGTGTTGATGGCCTTTGTACTTGGTACCAAGAATTGCCCTGTGTTGATTCGACGGTCCCAAGCCTGAAACCAAAAGCCTCTAAAGCTGCAAGAGGGAGAGAGAGAGCGCTGGGGAGCTTGGCCCCGAGCCCTCATGCCGCGGCAAGAAGAAGGAGAAGAGGAAGAAACAGAGATATGAAGAGGCTGCGAAGAAGAGTCTGGGGGATATAGCCAAAATCCCATGTCTCACACGTGCACCTCTGCTCCAAGCGAAAGTGTAGGGACCTTTCCTTGATTCGGGCATTTCCCTCCATATAGGTTTAGGTATATTCCAGACTAAAAAGGTTGATCCCGCCCTCGACAGGAAGAGAAAGAGAGAGAGGTGTAGACATGCATCTACATTTGTATAGATAGATGTAGTACTGACATGTCTGCATATATATGTATATATCAGTACATACGTTTGGTGGTTGCTTCAACCCCCAGAACATCGTTGTGCTTCCCTCTGACCATGGACGCAGGCATGTCGCGGTACTTGGCGAAGGAGCATCCACAGGACGGCATTTGCCGAGATGTGCCATAAGATGTCACATAAGATGCCACAAGGGCGGGCCAACCAGCCGCGCCTGGGAGGTTTATAGGGCCAGGGTGACGAGCACACGGTGTTCCAGTATCACAGAGAGCGTGCGCGGATGATGTTGATTATGGGATTTGGAGACTTGAGCTAGAAGACTCATGAAAGTTCGGGCTCAGGGATTTGTGTGGCATGTTGGTCTGTCAAGTACGCTGGCGAAGATAGAAGCATCCGGTCAGTGGAACATCCGTATGCTTTCGAAATCTTTGGAAGCAGATCGAAACAGTCCAGATTTCCGGACGCCTTTGAGCTGGGTGTGGTTGCAAGCGGGTACTAGACTCTAGACAAGGCTCATGCGGCAACGAAATATCCCAAACGCCCCAAAACACATCCGACGAACTCCGGCGCCCCTGCCAGAATGCGTCACCACCTTGATATCCGCGGGGGCACCACTGGATGCGACGATGGATCTGCATGGGGCAATCTTAAGTCCGAAGGCGTTCAGGCCGGAGCCACGCGCTGTTTTGCCTTAAGGGTTGCGGGTGTCAAAAAAAGGGATTAGTAGAACATTGCAGTTGAATAGCCTACAAACATTCAACATCCAGAATCGAATAACCGAAAGCTTGGCATACTGCAACAATTGCTAGAATCATCATGAATCATCAAGCTCATAAGGGTTTCACCTGCAATGCTTGCTAGAATCATCAAGCTCAGAAGGGTTTCAGGAAGCTGAGTCAGACCTTCGACTGCTAAGTTCGCCATAAAGGGCGCTGAATGATGCTAGATTGGCAGTGTTTAGGGTTTCGGCTCTCCGGAAACCCGAAACCCGGGGGCAGGCTGCGAAGCGGTTTTGGGTTTAGGTTTAAGGTGGTTTAGAAATACTTCGTGATGGTCTAGGACTCAGGGGCTTGGGTGCTTTGGGCTTCTTTGAACAGTTGTAGAGTTTTTTTGTGCCCCCCACTTTCAAACCTCCGCCTGCTTGTAGAACCAGGTAGCCATGTAGACAAGATGGGGATGTTTGAAAGGCGCACAGCCCAAAACCCTTAGCATGGCCTCAGCCTTGTGTGTGTGCGCGGCAAAGAGGGAATCGTCTAGGACCCAGCATGGGCCCTTAGTCCACTCTTTAGGGTCTAGGTTCACTTTATAAGCCCCCGATAAGCCAGAAAAAGGGCAGCCTTGTGGAGTTCAACTGGTTCCAACCTGCGGCCAAAAAAGTTGTAACTCTTGGCTCTAGTCCTCTGGGGTTTCCGAAATTAGGGGTACCTTATTGGGGTGCTTCTTGGAGCGAATCCTACTATTTGGGGGCCTTTGGGGGTTCCTTCTTTTCGTAAACCCCCGTCTGGGAGGTTGATGTCGTCCACCCTCAAGAAAGCCTATGGCCCGTCCTTGAGCTTCATGATCTCCAACGCCATTGGAGCCACGCCGACGCTCGACACAATAGCGTGGCCCACCTTCTTTTCTGGGTGGCGCACCGGTTTCTCCATGCGTACCTAGACTTAGACTAGGAATCCGAGTAGGCCCTTGTTCCATGGTTTTGGGTTCGGGTTTTTTATAAGCCATTTTTAACCAAAAAGGGTAATTACCTTTTCATTCCTAGATTACTCTTGGGTCTAGAAGAACCACGAGAGTTTTGGTTCCATGGACGGAGGGAGGACCAGGAGGAGAGTGAGGGACCAGGGAGCGAAAAGTGGAAAGCCGTGATGCCCCAAAAGTCTAGACCCTAAACCCCTTGCCGGCCTTGTGCGAGATGAGCGTCGAAAAGAAACCTGAAACCATGCAGAACCTAAGGCCGATTTTTAACAGAAGCGTTTCGGGTTTGGGAATGTTACTAAGCCCCCCAACCAAGGACCTTAAAAAACCTCTAAAGCGCTCGAAGAGCCCCAGCCCGAAACAAAGAGTCTCGAGGCTGATCTGCAGCCTCTTAGTCGGCGCTTTCGAGGCCCGTGCGCTCATTCTTTTCAGGTTTGGGGGGGGGGGGGGGGTGGAACCTAACAGTCCTCAAACAGCGACGGGGGGTATAGTTAGTATAAGGGGGCACATCCCAAGGCATGATCTTGGACGGTTTAGGGTTTAGGGTTTAGGGTTATCTTGGTAGTTAAGTCTCTTGTATGAGCCCAAGGCCTGAACCCGAAGCCCGAATTCAAACATAAAACGTCTGAAAGTCCGGGGCTTGCGTGTGCTGTGAGTGCTCCTTCATCAGCCCTCTAGAATGGGTTGAAAGCATGATGGTTTTAGCAAGGCTTGTGGAACTGAAATGTCAGGCTCTGTAGAACAGGGCTGGGGTCTGAGGGCCACTTGTGAGTCCACAAGTGTGGCTCAAGGTGCAGGACATAGAGGACCTGATATAGGAAGTGCTGGATGAGGTGTTCGGGCATTTAAGGTGCGTGCGGACATCCTTCAAGTCCTTGAACCAGAGATATGGGGGGGGGGGGGGGGGGGGGGGGGGTTCACAAACGACTGTCATCCTTCGTCTCGGAAACCCTGAGGGGTTAGGGGGGTTTCTCAATTTGCAGGAATCATCCTCCACGTAGGAAACCTAAAAGGGCACCACCCTATTTTCGGAAATCCACCATATCCCCCGAACCCTAAACCCTAAACCCTAAACTCTCATATGGTTTGGCGGATGCCTTCGATGCAGGCGGCTGCTGCGTTACTTGCCGCTCGTGCGGACGTCGACCGCAGACGCCGGCCTTGACAGCTTCACTTTTGCCTTAGGCTGGTTTTCGGGTTTAGGGTTTAGGGTTTCGGGTTTAGGGTTTAGGGTTTCGGGTTTAGGGTTTGGGGCTTTATGGCTTAAGCTCCAAAGACCTGCAGCTGAAGAGCGTTATAGGAACATACTGCTTTGCAGCCAGTTTCCATTACGACCTTGGTCGTTTGGGTTTAGGGTTTAGGGGTTAGGGATTAGGGTTTAGGGTTTAGGACTTTGGTCGTTTGTACACAATCCCCCAAGCAAACCTGTAAATTCCCCCCGGCGTGTCACTCTGTGTAACCCTGGTTCGTCTAGATTTTCAGGATCAGAATCGTCAGTCAGGGTGCTCTTTTGGACTTGAAGGGCTGAGCATGACGAGGCGAAACACTATCTGAACCCTAAACCAACTTGCTTTTAGGGTTTAGGGTAGTTTTATTCTTGTTCTGAGTAGGTTATCTACGGCAGTTATAATCACTAAGCCCTAAACCCTAAACCCCTAAACCCTGACCCTAAACATAATTAACCTTATTCAGGGTGCATTTTAACTCCACTTAACCCTAGACCCTAAACCCTAAACTTCTGCATCAGCTAGGGGTGGCAAAAGCCCTAAACCCTAAACCCTAAACCCTAAACCCTAAACCCTAAAACCCCCAAGTATCTAGCCCCAAACCGACCTCGGAGCCCCACCTTTCGGCTTCCCAGGAAAGCGTGCGGCGCCACGGCCATCGAGATCGCCCGAGCAGTGGACGCGCCGAACTTTGCAACTTGGCGTTAGGGTTTAGGGTTTAGGGCTTAAGGGTTAGGGTTTAGGGTTTAGGGTTTAGGGTTTAGGGTTTAGGGTTTAGGGTTTCATGATCATAGCATTGTTGCTTACGTGAAGCAATCAGCAAGCGTGCCGCGCAGTCGAGCGTTTCAAGCGTGAGTTGATGCATGTAGCGGGCATCTGAAGTTAAACGCAGAAGAAGCGCCACCGCGAACTTCTCTCCTTGCCGCCAAAGAAGCCTACATCCCAACGAAACCCTAAATGCTAGGCCCTAAACCTACCAAAGACATGTTGCTGGTGGGTCATTCAGCCTGGGCCTTGAAGGTGCACTGCCTTGCCATCCGAAGGCCCCCTCAGAGCCCTCAAGAGCCTCAAGAACCTCAAAGCCCAACCCGATGACCGGGAAAACCACGGCCATTCACTCGCGAGATCCATATGATGGTAGTCTGAGTTCATTAAGTTCCTCAACTCTACGAAGAGTCCAAACCCGAAACCCCAAACCCTAAACCCCAGACCCTAAACCCCCCTGAGTCGACGCTCCTTAACAGCAACCAAGTACTTTGTCATAGTGGGGTAACGTTTTCCAGTCCTAACGGTACTTCAACTCAAAAAGGATAGACATTTATTTATTAAACCCTAACCCTAAACCCTAAACCCTAAGCCCCAAACCCTAAACCTAAACCCTAAACCCTAAACCCTAAACCCTAAACCCTAACCCCAAACCCTAAACCCTAACCCTAAACCCTATAACCCTAAACCTAAACCCTAAACCCTAAACCTAAACACCATGAACTCAGGTCATGAAAGGCCTACGTGGCGACCTCGAGGCTTTCGTTGGGCGGGAAAACAAAGGGCCAAGGTCGCAGGATGGTGGGTTTAGGGTTTAGGTTTTAGGGTTTAGGGTTTCAGGGTTTAGGGTTTAGGGTTTAGGGTTTAGGGTTTTAGTGTGATATCCGCACATGTCCCCTGGGCGTGGCTCCCGGCTGATTGGATAGAGCTCCGGGTTCAAAAAAGGTTTAGGGTTCAGGGTTTGGGGCTTAGGGTCCGGGTTTTAGGGTTTAGGATTCCACCTGATTTACGGAAGAATTACTACTCAATCGTCTTCCTCATGGTCCCTATTTAATTATACTAGAATAACCCCCCAAAAGCTATACCAATAATTGAGGCCCCCTTTTCGAGCTGCGAAAAGTGCTACTACTGGGCTGGCGGCACTAGTATAGTTTCCCAGCCGGTCGCACGAGCCACAATCCGGCGTAGACCTGAGAAGCCTGAGCCCCCCCCCCCCCCCCGCCCCCTAGGAAGCTGGACACGTCAAGTGAGCTCATCGCATCCTAACCCTAAGCCGCTTCGGCGAGCTGCGCAGCCGAACCCGAACAGAAATCTTGCCTGCTCCAGCGAGTGCGAGAGTCGAAACCCCTTCGGAAAGGACTGCATTGAGATGGTGTCCGCGGCAGATTCCCAGCAGCTGCTCCTGTGCGTGTGAGGCTCCGCAGGCCCTGCAAAGCTTTACAGGGCAGGGCGCAGTTGGTAAAGGAACCCTGGTCCCTCACATCACTCAGACGCTGACCTGTCCCAAAAGTGGGGGTTTTTGAGTGTGTCGGGTTGTTGGCTGCTGTCGGATTTGATCTACTTTGGGATCATGGGCCATGGCGAAGACCGCGACTCTCGCGGCTCCGGATTCTCTGAACCCCTGTAGGTTTTGCTCTTTGAAAGCCAGTGGGCTACAGATGGCTACAGTTCGCCCTCATGTTCTGGGTACCTAGGCCTGCAAGGTGGCAGGTAGCCCTCCCTGAAAAAAGTTTCAAGATGGACACCTTTCCCTATACACCCCCCGCAAAGCGTAACCCACGCACAATAAGGAACGATCTTTGTTTCAATGTGAGCTTCAGACAAGCCGAAGCTGCCAAAAAAGAGGGGTTTAGGGTTCGTATAGGGTTTAGGGGGGACCAGGAGAAGGGCGGCTCGGATCAGCAAGCTGTTCGCTGTTCTTCTGAATCCGTTTGCGTCCTCATTGCTGGGTCGTTCGTAGAATTTCACATGGACCATAATTCGGGGGAACTTCGCTCGGCGCCCATTTCTGAAGGTTGCGTGGGTTCAGGAGCGACGAGGGTTTAACGCTGAGGGCGCCCAGTGGGGTGGCTCTAAACAAGAATACTTTCTGGGGACCAAGTGAACCCTTGTACTCTATGCTACCATAATTCCTATATAGATGAAGGCACAAGAACCAGAACTGCCACAACGTGTAGGCTTCTACTTGGTCGCCAGGGTGAGTGTCGCGTTGTGCTGAGCACGCGCATGCCCCTCTTCCTTGTCAGGATTCAGCTCCTGGTTTTAAGAGGGATCGAGGACTTGGAGGGTGTCTGCCTTTCGGCTGTAGATTCCGGGAGGGCTTAGGGCTTAGGGTGTAGGGTGCAGGGTTTAGGGTTTAGGGTTTAGGGTTTACATCCCGTCTTGGTGGCAGTGCTTGGCTAGCGATTTGAAGTCTGACCGTGCACCCTCCTCCTTCCGTGCTGAACGGGCGGCAGCTATGTAGGTGGATGGCACATTCTGGGAGCCCAGTGGTACCCTTTAGCCTCTTCTTTTTCTGGGTTCCCTTTTTCAAGTGACCAACCCCACCCTTATACTCAGACGGTTACTGGGCTACCAAGTACTGGTGTGTCACACTACTGTGTACGAGGAACAGGGAAGTACCAGTCCTTGTCCTTGAGTGCCAGGGTGTGGCACTGAGCACCTACCTGCTGTCGCGTTGCACGGCCTTCTTACTGAGATTTTTGTAGTGCATCCCGCGTTGCGCAGGACGACGTGCCGCTCCGCGATTACAGAACCAGAGGCCTCAACTTGCAGCGGAACGCGGCATGCACAGCTCGTGACACTCATCAAACTCCGCAGTTCGCATTCGTTGGGGCTTAGGTTGAGACGCTGACCCACGCTCTGAAGCCCCAAACCCTCAAGCCCCCAACTGAGCAAGAGATGTGACGGCCGTCCGACCTCGTGAAGGCATACATGCATGTGGAAACATTCGAGTGAGGCATGCGTCTGCACATAGGGCCCCGACGCATTTGTCATGAAGACTTGGAAAGTCCCTAAACCCTGAACCCTAAACCCTAAACCCTAAACCCAAACCCTAAACCCTAAACCCTAAACCGTAAACCCTAAACCCTAAACCCTAAACCTCTCTAAGCCCCAGCCAGCTCTTTTTAGTTGTCCGGTCAGATCCGTTCGGTCACGGCAAAAGCCGAAGGACCATTGCAGCCCTCACGAGCATCCAAAAGAGCCTTTCCGAGCACCAGGAGTGGGCCCTTATTCTAGTAGTTGCTTAAGAACCCCCCCCCCCCAAAAAAAAAAAAATCTAAGAATAACATATTCTTCCTTATAAGGGCAATGTAGGGATGATTAGTGTTGTTCGTTTAGACTTCTTGAGCAAATAGTAGTATTTCCTTCTTTTAGGGTTGGGGTTCCCTTGTCATACCCTCAAAACCCAAAAAGGGTACCCTTTTCATTCCTAGGTTACTACTGGGTCTAGTTCCTCCCCTCACCCTAATATTCTAGCTAGGCCGTTGGGATACTTTGTTTTTCTCTTGTTGGGTTTCAGGGGATCATATTTAGGAATATGTTTCAGAAGGTTTTAATGGCCATCCTAGTAGTAAACCCCCCCTACCCACCCTCGCCCCTGATATGAATTACTCCCGCTATGGTTGTATGGTAGTATGTGGGGGGGCGGCTAGGGGGTATTCAATGATGGGGGGTAGGGGGGGGTTAATATTAGGGGGAGGGGATTACTCTGAGATCCCCACATAAGACATCATTAGTAAGAAGATGTTGCGCTTTTTTTGAGGGCGTGGATATGAGGGGGAGGGGAGTAGGGGAGGACAGTCCCTGCATACGGTGCCCACCCCCCCATGTCCCGGGATGCCCCCTTTGCAGAATGCCCCCGCAGGTGTCAACGGACTAACGGAGGGACCCTTGGGACTTTAGGGGTTATTTAGGGGCCTACTTGGGTATATAGGGGCTATATAAGGTATATATACTTATAGGGACCTTAGGGGTCATTTAGGGGGCTACCTGGGTACGTAGGGGCTATTTTTGGTCTAAACTTATACCCCCTAAGTCTGCTGCATGTTCCGTACGTCGCCATTTTATTCTGTCTTGCAGCAGGTCTGTACATGTCGTAGAACATATCTCACCGACGGGCAGAGTTGGCATTGGCGACACCTTACGGCAAAAAGCGTTGCGAATGACAAATATGACAACACTGAGGCACGCAACCAGGCTTTGACAGTACGTGACTCAGGTTCGCAGAGTTTGAGCCAAAATACCTGTCCCAGATGGCTGCCCCAGCAGCGCAGACTCCCAGGGACGAGCTCTTCGTAACGGGGCTTCCCACTGACACGACCGATGAGCTCCTTACGACCATCTTTAGCCAGTATGGCGCTGTGAAAGAGGTGGGGCTTGGCCTAGAGTACGAAATTCTTGTGCGCCCACTATCCTAGGTAGGCCCTGGGGATACTTTTCCCTCACCGGGTTTATAAGAGGATTATATTTAGGATTTTTGTTCAGAGGGCTTTAAGGCCATTTTAGTAACCTAGTATCTATATGTAAGCACTGGACATGTCGCATCCGCATGCGTTCCGCGATAGCAGCAGCAGACCACACACACACACACACACGCAGCTGAATGGCGGACGAGTCAAAGTCTGCCTAGCTGAGCACTCTGCTCTGGGAACATGATAAGAGTCAGTCGCCTGCTGTCCTCCCCGATTGGAGTGGAGGCACTGACCCAATGCAGATCGCATGGGGATAGCCGAGGTGAAAGAACAGAACACAGAAAAGAACACACCCCCGAGGCACCACCCACGGACCTGCGAGTACCCCCTCACTAATTGCCGGATGTGGGCGCCTTCACCCACGATCGTGGCATTAGCTACGGATTCGGCCAACTTACTTGCTTTGGATTTCCTCCAACAGCGCCTGGAGCTCACGCTCAAGGCCGCCCTTGGGAGCTAAGCCGAACTTTTCTTCCCCTCCTTGCGTTTTGAACGCGTGGAAAAAGGCGTCAGCTACTGGTCTCAGCTTGTCAGTAGTGGTCAGGTAGATCTTCACATGCTTGCCACCGTACGCAGGAGCTACTCGACAGTACAGCACATCCGTCAGCAACTTGTTGGGAGAGTCGGCTTCAGCAGCATGGGCTTCGACACGCTGCAACATCTCTCCACTGAGATGCACGGCTGCTTCAACTGTCAGCGCTGCCCACACATGGATATGTGGAGGGCCAAGGTCGTGGTGCTTCCCTGCGGCCTGAACGAGGTCATTGTACTTCTGACTGGCTTCCTTCGCCTTGGTCACGAAAGAGGCCGTAGATGGGATGAGGCAAGTCCGGAAAGTTGCCGACTGCAAGGCCCGTACGTCTGCAGACAGCTTCAAGTTGGACTTCATGAGGAGCTGAACCGCCTTCAGGACAAGCTCGTCTTTCTCACCTCCAACTTGCCTGCGCTTCAGCGCCGGCCCGTTGGGAGTTCCAGCATTTGCCGCCCACTTATCCATGACGTTTAAGGAACTCTCGACTACGCTCTCACTATAGCTGTGCGCCCAAATGCTGCCCCAAATGATCGTGCAAGGCCTCAAGAGTCTCAAACTGTGCGTCACACATGCTGCAGTCAAGATTGTCCGGAATATCTGGTGCCCTGTTGACAACACTAGACCGACCACTGCAATGCTGCTGTAGGAGGGAATTCGCCACATGTCTCCGCGTCGAAAAAACATTTGCAAAAACCTCCCTGCAGAACAAGCATTGATTTGTGACCACAAGCAAAGCTTCCATCGGTGAATGCTCATGTAGCTTGGTGCAGTGTATTGCCAAGGCTTTACTCGACTTGAAAGCTCTACCGCACAGAGAACCATCTGAAAGTGTGTGCTCGCACACATGCTGCTCGTCATCTGGAATGTCGGGCAAGTCTTCGGGAGCCTGTTCTCCCTGCACTGAGGGGCTCTGGTATCCTGGTGGGGGGATTTCCACACAGAGAAACTTGCGCCGGAGAATGGACATGTCAACCATAAGAAAATCCAGTCTAACGTCATGGCTGAATAGGCGTAACGGCTTCCTGTCCACTGCGTTGGTGATATGCTCCAGGTCGGCGATGTCTTGCAGAGCTTCGATATCATCAACCAACTGTTTGAGCCACGGATGCGCTGCAGAAGACAAGGAGCCATCCTCTTGCAGCGCGGGGGTTGTTTCAAACGGGAAGAACCCGAACATAGCAGCGAAAACATTGGAGTGAAGTTCTGGTTGTCGTAACAGACGTTGCCAGAATTGCAGGCGTTTGATACGCAGTTCCACGTAGACTCCTGCAAGCCCAAGATACCGCCAGACTTGTTGGTTGGGGACAGCTGCATACTTGACAGTACCGTCCGGCTGTTCTTCGCGCTTGCACGCGCTTCCTCGCATGAGGATGCGCCCTTTGGCCGCGACAAAAGCATCGAGGGCCTTGTAGTCGGATTGACTGAGGACGAAGGGCGCCAAACCAGCCACAGCAGTCTCGAAGACCAATGCTCGGAAGACCATGTTGACGGACCGTTTGCTACAGCCTGTCCGCGTCCAAAATGAACCCATACTTGCCCAGGCTGCCTGAGCTTTGTCCAGGCGGTGCTTGCGAGCAGCAGTAGTGGAGCCATTGTGCGTGCAGATCTCTCCCAAGTATTTGGCCTGCGGCACTGCTTTCCCCTCGAGTGGAGTCTTGCCGCAGTAGATTTCTCGCATCTGCTTGTGAGATCCTCTGCCAGCAAAATGCGACACGATTTCTTGCTTGTCGCGGTTTTGCGCCATACCACCACTTGCGAGCACTTCGTCCAATTCGTCATCCAGGAAAGATGCTTGCGCTTGCAAATCCGCAGCCTCGTCGCAGATGACCTTAATGGCGAGGTCATCCGCGAAGACGGATAACGCAGTGTTGACATATTTGCAATTGACCGGATCATATGCGCACATTTGGTGATAGGTGGAAGCTTGCGCTGCTCTTTGCAACCATTCGTCAACCAGGGGATGATACTGCTCCATGAATAAATCTGACGCAATGCTGTCGCCTTGGAGAGCACCACTGCCAACTGAAAGCAATATGGGCCCGTCAGCGGCCTGCAAGTGTATACAGGCAGCCTTGTGCCGTTGCTTGAGCAAAACTTGATCTTGTGGCCGCATCGTCTTAGCAACCGCCAGGTCCAGCTGGTCATGCAAAGGGGAATAAAAGGCATTTGCCACGTCTTTGTAAAGGGTAGCATGTCCAACACCGGCAGCGCGCAGCCGGTGCCCCAAGCAAATTTGCTGCAAAATAGCCTCTTCGCGGCTTTTGTGTCTAACATAGCCGCACGCGTAATCTCGAGCAGCTTGCGACGTGCCTCTGCGCCACAGTGTGCGGTAGAAATGTTTGCCCATCGGGTCCAGCACGTTGATGACTCGGATGCCCTGACATAAGGGCTTGCCATTGCGCTTGTCAAGCTGCGTGCCCTGCGAGCAATGCCACTCCAAGGGCGCTGATTCTGAGCATCGTATGTGCACGAAGAGCTGCTGTAGCGCGTTTTGCAGATGCGGAGTTTGCAAACACGCGGACTTGTGCCCAAGACCATGTCGAGCTCTTGCCAGGTTGTAGTTGGGATATAGCAGCATGCGCCACACTTCATTGGGAATAGTCCAACAAGGTACAGCCTTGCGTGTTTTTGCATGCCAAACTTGGGTAGCCACAGCACGCAAGTCCTCAGCTGCCAACTGCTGCATTTGACTACGCCATACCGGATCAGCTCGGCATTTTTGTTGCCAGCCAGTAGCTCCATGAGCAAACTGTTGGACGTGCGCTGTCCAGTTTGTAGCAACGGCCTTGCAGCCTCCATCACGCCCCACTTGTGCCATGTGCTGCCGCCATTGCTGCATACTGGGCCTGCAACTCTTCGGCCTATCGAACCTGCGTTGTTTGGGACCCACACGCCTGCCTGAAAGCGCTCGGGCAGCTCGCCACATGGACTGGAAGTTGGCACTCTGCCAACCTTCGTGAAGCTGGTGCACATGTTCACAGGCACGTCTTCTCTTATCTCTTGTTGTGAGTCGTTTAGCGAGCCGCTGAGCCTTGTGATACCGCGCCAAAGCATGCCATCTGCACAGCAAATCTGATAGCGCTTGTAATGACACAGTATCTCGGTCAGCTCCTTGGCTCCAGAAACGACGCGGGCGAGGAAGCCGTTGGATTTGTAGTTTGCATTCATGCTGGTGCTCCAGAGCGGCTGCTGTGTCAACTTTCCGCTCTTGGAGTTTGACTGGGCGAGACTGATATAACTCTCTGCCAACGGACAACACCACATCACGTAGCATGGTCCAGGCATCATCTGGCGTGCTTGCCGACTGGGCATGCTGCCATTGGGAACTCTCCAAGAGGTCTTTGCACCGGGACTCAACCTCTGCCACCAGTTGCTCTCGACAGTGTCCTCGAAGAACGCCTCGCATGAGTCTGTCCATATCCCAGCGTGTCGGGGACTGTTGCTGCATGGTGAGTGTCGGCTGCAGCCCCAACGAATGGTCGAGCTTGATCTGTAGAGGTCTGTGATCTCGGCGGCCTGGAGCCGCCACCAGCTGCAGATCGTCGCCTGTGTGATGCCACACAGAGCAATGCTGGACTTGAGATAACATGCTGGATGGAATGCATATAAAATCCACGCGGGACGTATAATCTGCAACGATTCCGAAATAGGTTGGTCCAACATTGTGATAAGTGTTGGTAGCTGCGAGGTAATGCCTCTGCAAGAACTGGCGGAACTGTTCTCCGTTCCAATTCTCGTTGTCTGCATTGCACGGGCCGATGGACTCATCTTGCGTGGTCGTCCATATGTTGTTTGCCACATGTTCCTTACCAACACGCGCGTTGAAGTCGCCAAGCAAGCAGGGCACACATCGTGCCGGCAGAGCACTGACAACACTATCAACCCATTTCCAAAGTGCAGTGTTGACGCGTTTCGAATACGGCAGATTGGAGTTGGGATGGAAGTAGCACACGATGAATGCAAAGTCGGAGTCACGTCGCTTGACCCGCAGTGCCCCACCACGACCTTGCAACTCGCTGGGCGGGGACGAAATCTGTACCACGTTATCAGCTGCGAAGCGGCTGCGTTTGAGGCATAGCTGAACTCCAGCATGAGAGTTGGTGAGCCTCCCTGTTCCGTATCCCCAACTATACACAGCATGCGTTTCAACTCTACGCTGACTGACTGCGATGTCGCCATCTGGCAGACGGGTGCCGGACAGTGCGATGACATCATTGCTGTGTAATGCATGTATGACTCGGCGCTCTCTGTCAGCTCGTTTGAGAGATCAGCAGCAGACCAGTAGATGTGTGATGTGGGATGTTTTGTTTGTCTAATAGACCCGAAGCCCGCCGGCAGTTCTGGTGGTCAAATGGTGGTTTCGTGGCGACTTAAACCCTAAGCCCTAAACCCCAAACCCTCAACCCCAAACCCCGCATTCTAGGGCAAGGTTCTGGGCTGGGTTTGGACGACTGGCGCCTATCGACCCGGGGTTTGACTAGACTTCTGCGAGAGTGAACTCAAGGTGTTGCAGAGGTTGACGTTCATGCACAATCCCAGGGTTCAGCTCGGTACCAGTAGAACGTTTGTGGACCCAAACAAAATCTACCCGTTTACCGGCGGAAAGACCTTAAACCCGAACCCCCAGTTCGCAGTCCAACACGCCAGAAATTTTCCACTTTAGCCTTAATGCCCCTTGAGTAGTGGTTGAGGGTTGAGGGTGTACCTTTTTTTGATCTTATGACGACGCTACACCTGATAATTCAACCTCACCCCAGGAACTCGGGCACTTTGGGCCGCTTTTTGGTAGGGTTTAGGGTGTAGGGTGTAGGGTGTAAGGTGTAGGGTGTAGGGTTTAGGGTTCAGGGTTTAGTGAGGGTTTAGGGTTTAGGGTTTAGTGGTATTGTCGACGGTTTCCCATGAAGCTTAATACCGTTGAAGCCCCGAAGCCTTGAAGCGGCGTTCGCCTCAGGCTATGCAACCCTAACCCGATGTCCTGCACCCTAAACCCTGAACCCTGAACCCTAAACCCTAAACCCTAAACCCTAAACCCTAAACCCTAAACCCTACGGTACGCACCCGATGAACTGCCTTTCATGGTCACTCAGAGCAAGCCTTGCGCAGCCAGGTGAAGGTTCTCCCCGTGGCCGCAGGCAAGACAGCCGCCGCAGCCTTCGTGGACATGCATACCTTGGAAGATGCCAAGTGGATCGTGGAGAATGTCAACAACAATGTCCCTGTGTCACCGTGGGGTAGCATGTTACCATTTTTTAAGCTTAAAGGGTACTTAAGCTAATTGAGGAATAGAAATTTGAGTTTTTAATGCGCTGCTCCCGACCATGACTTAGGTCCCGACAGGCATGGCGCAGCCGGTCACCGTGGCCTACGCCACGCCGAGGTCGCGGAAGGGTGGCAAGGGCATGAAGGGTGGCATGAAGGGAATGCCGCCGATGATGCAGATGATGGCGATGATGATGGGCATGGATGGAGGAGGCAAGGGTGGAGGGGACAAGGGAGGGGACAAGGGTGGAGGCAGCTGGGGTGGAGACAGTTGGGGTGGATGCGGAGGAGGTAGCGCCAGCGTTGTTCCTCCCAAGGTCCAGGTCAAAGGCGGATGTGCCGGCAAGAGCCCCTGGAGCGATAGTGGGAAGGGATGGAGCGACTCGAATGGCAAGGGCAGTGGCTGGGGCACGGTCGTGCCTTCACGGTGGGGCGATTCTGCTAGTAAGGGCTGGGGCGGCTCTGCTGGCAAGGGCTGGGGCGACTCCGCAGCTGGCAAGGGCTGGGGCGCCACTTCCGGTGGCAAGGGCTGGGGCGATGCTTCTAGCAAGGGCTGGGGCAGTGTTGGTGCTAAGGGTTGGGGAGATTCGGGTGGCAAGGGGTGGGGGGATTCGGGTAGCAAGGGCTGGGGCGATGTAGGTGGTGGCAAGGCATGGGGCGGTGCTAGTGCCAAGGGTTGGGGCGATGCGGGCGCCAAGGGCTGGGGGAGCGTTGGTGGCAAAGGGTGGGGTGGTTGGTGATTGCCTTGCGCCCCACCCGCCGCCTCGTCGACCAGCCCGAGGTGGTTATGACCGGAAAATGTGATAGTGAGCCTCAGCCAGAGCCGATTTTGCCAGTTGTATAGGGACAAGAGTATCGTTGGTATATAGTTATGCTCAACCCGTTCCCACGGGCATATGTGTGTCTCACAACTACGCAGCTCCAAAGAGACCGGAAAGAGACCGGAAAAAGAGGGTGCCAGTACCAGAGGCTGCCAGAGGCATTCCGTGCTTGCGCTTCGTTTAGGGTTTAGGGTTTAGGGTTAAAAAAAAAAGGTTTAGGGTTCAAAACAAGGGTAATATAGGGTTTAGGGTATGCCCCATCAGCGAGTCGCCGGGCGACCTGAGTCAAAGGGTTGTGAGTGTTCATGCATGGGTTTCCCTCACAGCGCCTTACAGAAGGGCAGCCTTCTTTGACGAGGATTCCGTTGAGAAGTCCTGCATACACCGAAATCCCTGCCATAGTCTTAGATTAATTCTTACACTTCTAGAAGGATCTTGTCTTCTCATCTAAGGGTCCACATGAGCCAGCGACACAGGCTTCGGCTTCACACCCAGACACAAACACTTGGGCACAGCCGCTTTCGTATTTGGGCTGTGACAGAGGCGTTGCGCTGCCTCTACAACGGGTGAACACCGATTTGCAGACCGATGTTGGTCCCGGAACTGCAGCTGAGAGGGCTGTGTCTTACCTCTCCAAAGACAAATCTCCACCCGATTGCGTGTGAGCCAGCCTGCGCTCGGAATGTCGATATATATATGTGTGTGCTTATGTGTTCATGTATATATACATATGTACATACTATTCGTGGAAGTTCGGAAGTAGAACGCAAAAACATCACACAACAAGCAACAAACAACAGCAATGACCACGCAACACACACACACACACACACAACAAACATCGCACGACAAGCAACACACAACACGCAACACGCAACACGCAACACGCAACAGGCAAGAGGCAAGAGGCAAGAGGCAACAGGCAACAGGCAACAGGCAACAGGCAACAGGCAACAGGCAACAGCAACACCGACAGCAGCAACACCAGCATGTCATTAGCTACACAGAGAATCCTGCCAACAAGAACAGTCAGAAGAAGCGCATAATACCAATATCGTGATTATAGACTGTCATACCAGCCCCTCTCTCCAAGGCCCCCTGGCCCCAGTAAAGGAATCTTCGCCCATTCCCTCCAAACCCTAAACCCTAAACGCACAAATCGAGAAGTGGACCGAGTCGAAACCCTAAACCCTAAACCCTGAACCGTAAACCCTAAACCCTAAACCCTAAACCCTAAACCCTAAACCCTAAACCCTAAACCCTAAACCCGAAACCGCATCTTCCCTGAGGCGTGGAGGGGCAGCCTTGGAATGCCTTTGCCCACTGTGAGGCCGCCCACGGACTCCTCCTTCGGTTGAGGGCTTGGGTTTAGGGTTTAGGGTTTAGGTTTTAGGTTTTAGGGTTGAGGGTTGAGGGTTTAGGGTTTAGGGTTTAGGGCTTAGGGTCCCAGTTGCAAAAGGGCTTAGTTAGGGTTTGGGGCTTAATTAGGGTTTCAGGGCGTGCCATCCCGGACAGAATGTTTCCCTGAGTGGTCTCGAGCCTTCAGGCCAAGATCTTCTTACAGCAATAGCTTGGGGACTCTGTGCTACACGATGGGTGCAGTAAGTACCTGCCCTAGGACCCAGAGTTAGGCCCCTCATTCCCCTTTTCTTTTAACTTAGGGTTTAAAGGGGTTCGTTTAGGGTTCAGGTTCCTTTCTAAGCCCCTGTAAAGCAACAAGGGCACCCCTTTATTGTCCAGGTTACTCTTGGGTCCAGTCGCCGGTTCGGGGTTAAGAGCCCCAACCCTCGATTTCTCCTTCATGAAGAGATGCACCTCAATCTAGGGGGCCTTTGCAATGTATGTCATATCCCCTTAATGAAGGAGCACTGAGCTGGTCCTTGTTAGAGGCCCGAAAACCTAAACCTTGAACCCCTGGCAGTAGTCGAGCCTTCGCTTACTTTGCCAATGCTTGAACTTCCCAGTAGCCCAGCGGTGCCCTTCTTTGGCCTTTTTTTGGGGTTCAAGGTTGCCCAAGGTTCATGGGTTCCTGAACTCTAAACCCTAAACCCTAAACCCTAAACCCTAAACCCTAAGGGCCATCCTCAGGACGAGGCACTCGACTGGCCGAGGCGTCAGGCAAAGCTATTGGAGGCATGTCCGCGATGCTGATCATCAACTTGCATCCAGCCAGTTTTTGTTAGGGTGCAGGGTTTAGGAAGAAGGGTTTAGGGTTTAGGGTTTAGGGTTTAGGGTTTAGGGTTTAGGGCAAATGGAGCTCCCGGGCAACTCCAGCCCCTGGAACTACTATTTGCTCAAGAACCCGCAGCAAGAATAAGCCCTACATTGCCCCGGGCCCCATACAAGGAAGACTTTTTTAAATTTGTTCTTGGGAATCTCGGTTTCCCCTTTCTATGCATCTTTGCGGGTCTTGCAATGAATAAGGGAGGTCCCAGATGTTTCGTAGCTAGCCGAACTAACGTCTCCCAGAACACGTTGTTTATCGTTTATTGTGCCACCTTTCGTTTTCCGCTCTCGCTCTCTCGCTCTCGCTCTCTCGCTCTCGCTCTCTCGCTCTCGCTCTCTCTCTCTCTCTCTCGCTCTCTCTCTCCCTTCTTCCGTCTTCCTCGCTCTCCGCTCTCGATCACGCTTTCTCTCTCTCTCTCTCTCTCTCTCCCTCTCCCTCTGTCTCTCTAGCCCCCTTTCTCTTGCCCCGAAGCCTCCTAAACCCTCGTTCGTTCATCCTAAAGACTGACGGCCCTTGCAGATCCTGCGCCGGAGCGAGGCGGATGTGATTTGCCTACAGGCTGGCTCTTTTTCTGAGGGGGGGAAGAGATTTACTATGGATGCCGCTAGAAGGCTTTTTCTTCATGGCCACCAGCAGAGACCCCTCACATAACACAACTTGCCTGCTGCCTTCTGGGATGTCAGCGTAAGGTGGGGGTGAAGGGGTTTTAGTTAAGGCCTCCTGCACTGTGGGGGTGTGGTTCGTATCACTGTACGAAAATGTACCCTTGAACCTACAATGACCAACCCCGAAACTCCCGGCCCCCCCAAACCCTTGCGCGACCTGCGCCCTGTCCGAGGGATAAGATTGCACCGTGCCGCGCTGCATCAAAAATGGCAGCGCAGGGCCTTGCTTCCAGAACCTCCGAACCTCCCTGGAACTCTATTTACCTACAGTTTAGTAGAAATTCACTGCCCCCTTAATTAGTAACTGGAACCCATTAAGCTGTAGGTAAAGAGGGTCCCACGTCTGCCAAGCATTCCGAATTCAAGCTGCGGCTCCTTGGGGCTCAGAGGGCTGTAGGGGGTTGAGCCTGAAACCATCCGATGATGACGCACCTTCGCAACGAAACTACCTCTTACTTAGTAGGTAGAACCCATAAAGAGCTGTAGGTGAAAAGGGTCCCAGGTAAACCCGAAACGCAGGAGGTGACCCTGGAAGAGAAGGACACCGGAGGGAAGGAGGCGGCCCCTGTGAGGTTTTCTTGGAACATGAAGGTTCATGGGGTTCCATGGGTAGTTCTACTATCTGGGTTAGAAGTAGGATAGTGGTTACACATTACAAAGCCCTTTAATGTCACAGGGCACTGTTTAACCCTACTTAACTGCCCATGAACCCTCAAGCAGGGTTCAGGGGAAGGTTTGTCAAGCAAGCTGATGCGCCGGCTTGCTTGCTGGAGCTAAGCATAGCTAAGCTCTGCTTCGCCTTTGCACGTGCCCTACGTATACCCTGCGTCTCAGCTACATAGGCCCAGGCCCTAAACCCTTCGCTTACACCTGTGCACCCTGCAAAATGGACTTCTGTTCAGCTAGGCGGGGGGCAAAACAGCCCTGCATCGCTCGAAGGTGGACTGGGTCCTGCCCAGCTGGTTGCAGCTCGATGGCTACCAAGCCGTACCCCTCGGGCTGAAGGCAGCGGATATAGCGGGGTTTGGGGAGTAGGGGTTTAGAGTAGCAATGAAACAAATTCAAAGGGTTGAGGGCTCATGGTTGTGAAGGCTACCATGTCGGCTGAAATTTGGGTACATCGTCCGCATTGTGAGTAGCCGGGTTCCGGTAAGCGCAAACAGGGATTCGTAGCACTTTCTTGACAGCTTCAGATGCTAGCATCGCTGGAAACTTGGGCATGCGTCGGCATAGTGAAGGGCTGAGCTACGCACCTGATGCCACGCATCATCCGCATCAGGCCATGCAGCCCTGCATGGAGAGCCTTGTGCTCTTGGTTTATAAGTCTTTGCTTGCAGCGGGCTGCTGGGGCAGCACCTTCGCTTTTCTAGGGTTTTCCCCTTCAACAAACCAAAGGCGCCCCTGTTGACTCTGAGGTTCCTGGACAGACATACCACTTGAGGGAAAAAGGCAGGGACCCCTAGAAGGGACCAGACCATAGTCCCTTTATTCCTAAGCAGCCCCTAAATACCTGCTAAATAACCCCTAAGGTCCGAAATAAGGGTCCCTCCTTTAGTCCCTTGATTCCACAGTCACCACAGTCACTGCGGATGCAGGCCAAGGAGTGGGAGAAGCAGGCGCAGCGCAATGAGCTGCATGGCCGCAACCGAGCTTTACAGGGCTTTGAGGGTCGAATCCCCTCCCCCTAATATCAACACCCCCCCCCCCCCCCCCCCCCTACCCCTATTATTAACTATCCTCGGTCTAGTTATATTTATAGTATGAGGGGGGTATTCATTTCCCGTCTCAGGCAGTTGCATAGCGCAAGAGGAGGGGGTTAGAGCCTAAAACAGATTGGAAGTAGGGTTGAACGCTGTGTTGCGGAGCTTTGGTTGACGCGTATTCGGAGCTAGCTGGAATTGTCTTCGTCCTGGCCGAGTCGATGCAGACAAGATTCAACAAGAAGGGGGTCTGGCAGACACCACGACCAGATGCCAAGAGGTTCTTCGTTTTTTTCGGACTCAGACTTCATACAGGGCTGAGGGCTT